TCTCTTTCATTTACAAAGTAATTTCATGTAGGTCATTTGTCCTTAGCACTGCGTTTTAGACAAGTGCACAGGCAGAAAAAAAAGACACAAGCCTATTCCAAGATATTTCCAATGTTTAGAGGAGCCCAGGAAGATGCTTCTTTCACATATCATAAAAAGCCATACTGTTTTTTGAACTAAACACAATATGTACTATGAAAAACGCTAAGTATTTCTGCAATGCCATATCTTTAATTACCTGGAAAATTCTTTTTAAATTATTATAAACCAAAACTAAAGCTTTAGCATTAAAAAAACATGCAGCCAATTAGTTAAAACAAAAACTTCAGTGGAACTATGAGCACAAACTTATGCAATAATGTAAGTTTTGGGAGGATTGGGGCCTACACTAATAATTGGACTTTAACAAGAAAAGTCCAAAGTAACAGCAGAAACCGAGGAATTAAAAAACATGCTATAAGTGTTAGGGAACTGGTTTATATAATAAAAAATGCCAACTGAAAAAAATCTAGAAATTAGTCTGTAGCACATAAGTATTTTTTATTTCTTTCAGACGACTGTTTATTATAGAATGAGTACTTTAAGTAGCACACACATTTTATATTCACAATAGATTTTTTTTCTCTTTATAATAGCAAAACTTAAAAAACTCCATGTACTTCAACTAAAATATACAATGAAAGAGCATTTGTAAAAATAAGGGATGAGAAAAATCCCATGGTAATGATTTTAATACTTGCATAACCTTTGTATATTCATGTAAATGAAAGAGAGGTCATTGTGGAATAGTGAGGTCAAGCGTACACAGAAATGACTTCTTCATGAATTTATTTTGTAAGATTTGTCTTATTGAATTCTCTTTCAACACACGGTTTTATCACTGTGCCTTACAGGGATCTGAACCCATTAATTTCTTTGAATGGCTGTAGTTAGGCTACTGTGTTTGAATACACTATCTTCAGTGGGAGGCGGAGAGAGACAGGCAGCAAGTAGTCTGTTACCCGACAATAGTTCTACAGCATTAAATTCTCAGTGCCACATGGTGGAGTAAGAAGCACATGGAATTTGTATTCAAAAGGTGATCCAAAGCAGCGCTCAAATAGCATATATTTAACACTGAAAACTCCCCTTTTCTTTTGCCATCTCTCTGCATGTATCAAAGTAATCACTTTAGTTTAACAAGAGAAGCTGCATTTCACTTCATTTTGTCTCTACTTTAACCCTGGGTTTGAATTTGGGAACCAAACATTAAAAAACCTTGACATCTTTCTGATTAAAATTCCTTCTATTTTTCTAGGAGTGCAGCATACTTTACTGAAGGGTTTATTTTATAGTCTCTGGGTTGATTAACCATCACTAATTAATTATCCCCTTCCCTGGAAAAAGAAGGCCATTAACTCTAACGGAAAGGCAGGTAGCAGGACAGCCACTGCTTTGACATGGGAGTTCTATCATGAAGGAAAAGCTCTGATCTCTTTGTAGGAGGTGTGCCAGCAGGGGCTCCTCAGTAGATGAGCCAGTACCTTAGCCCTGCCATTCACTGGTGGGATGAATCAGGCTAATCTACCCATTTAAAATGCATTGTACATTTTATTTTCCTATAAGGATTTTAAGGAACTTCAGACTGAGCTTCAGAGAACAGTAATATTTGAGTTCAATCTGTTCTGATGAGAACTTGGTTTTCTCAAAAGATTTTACCTGCATCTTAAAATAAAACTGTGAAGGGGAAAGAGTCAACAAATTCTGGGTTGTTTGATTTCACACCTATTATGATTTGGTGAATTCAGCATCAGACATGAGGCAATAAATCCATATGCAACACAAATTTTTTGGAGGAAAAAAAATGAGTTTGCCAATGTATCCAAAAATATTCCAGCTTAAATTTTGGTTGGTTGAGTGTTACCCCGATTCAATGGTTAAAATATTGAAATATTGCTTTTTATATAAAACCTGAATCACCATCAATACTACATCTGTGGATGTATCTGTGACGGTTTCTAAAGGATGGATATGCTTTTGATCAGAGCATATTTTTGAAAAGGTCCAGAAACAGCCATATCAAACAGACGGTACTGAATGTTTCCTAAACTGCTAATCTTTAGAGAGATAGATTTAGAAGATGAAAATCATACCAATGCTCCCTTGACAAAGGCTCAGTTAAGCCCTGAGTTACCTAATAATACTCTATGTTGAACAAAGTTTTAGGAGGAAGAACAACACATTTAAATGGGGCAGTAGTGGGTAAATACTCTAGTTTAGGACTGAAATTTGATACACGAGGAGTAAATCATCTAAGCCTGACTCTACTCTTACACTGGTATAAGATGGAAACAACTCAACCGGAGTCAGTAATTATAACAGTATAAAATTAGACTGAGGACAGAATAAGGCCTGGTATAGTCTAAATATTTGGTTTGGGCTTTAAATATACATATTTTTAATGGATTTTTTAACTTTTTAAAATTATTTTTAATATAAAAGACACAGGGCCTGATTTCCAGAGTTGTGGTGGAACCGCAGCTCCCTTTAACTTCAGTGGGAGCTGTGGGAGCTCAGGACTTCTGAAATCAGGCCCACAATGTCTTTTGTCCATTTTTGTCTGTATCTGAGACCAACTCTTCAAGCTTCTCCCTGCCAAACAGCTGTACTTAGGAATCACTGTTTCTAACGGAAAATGCAATTGGCATTAGCCTTACAAATCCTTACAATCCATATATACTTTTCCATATTATTATCTCCTGATATTATCATACTTTTTATTAAATATCTAATGACCTGAAAAGCTATTTGATTTCCTATAGTACAATTTGAATACTTTGGTATTAGTAGCAGCGGGCTTTATTTCAACTTACTTTTTTTTGTTTTGTTTTGTTTTTAAACAGGGCTATGGATAGATGTTATAGTGAAAATAGTTGAAAAGCACAAACTGGTGTCAGATATGATAAATGTGCTTTAGGTTCAAAGCCTGAACAAATAAGTTGTAGGAGGGAAAGGAAAGGATGATTTTCTTTTAAACTTGTCTGAATTGAAGAACTAAAATGTAAGGATATTTATATAAATCAAAGTAACAATTAACCACAGTACCTGTGATTAGATAATTTAGTAGGTTTCAGAGTAGCAGCCGTGTTAGTCTGTATCCGCAAAAAGAAGAACAGGAGTACTTGTGGCACCTTAGAGACTAACAAATTTATTAGAGCATAAGCTTTCGTGGACTACAGCCCACTTCTTCGGATGCATAATTTAGTAGCAATCCATATGCCATCTAATTGGCTTTACAAATAAACCAAGTAGGAAGAAGATGATGAGTAAATTCTGGCATAAGAAAGTTTGGATTTTAAAGAGCCACTTTGTTTTCCATTGCCATTTTAATGTTACTGCATAACCTTCCATTGCATTTAAGGTCCTTTAAATCATCTGGATAGGCACAGGTGAAAAAGTTGAAAGTATGATTATATTGGTACATAAACAACCCCCTTTAAATAAAAATAATGAGGAGTCTTTGTGGCATCTTAGAGACTAACACATTTATTTGGGCATAAGCTTTCGTGGGCTAAAACCCACTTCATCAGATACAGGGAGTGAAAAATGCAGTAAGAAGACTATATATTATAGCACATGAAAAGATGGGAGTTGCCTTACCCAGTGGGGGGACAGTGCTAAGGAGCCAATTAAATTAAGGTGGAAGTGGCCTATTCTCAACAGTTGACAAGAAGGGGTGAAAACCAAGGGAGGGAAAATTACTTTTGTAGT